AAACATTTTAAAATCTGAAAGAAGTAGAGAAAAAAGTTCTCTTGTGTTTTTTGGTTGTATATACCAAATATCTTCTAGGGCAACATATTCCCATATCTCTGTTATAAAACCAATACAATGGCTGGCTTGGTTACATAGTTGTTGATAATTAAATTTTTACAGCTTGGCACTTTGCCACAGTATCTGGGGTATTCTAGCAAAACCACAGAGGATGCATAAGCCATGAGCTACTAATGCAGTCTTTATTTTCTGGAGATCTAAGACTTACTGCTCCACTGGAAGATATTAGGAAGATGACTTTTCTAGATCTAACCTGCAGTTTTTTCTATAACTTGGCCAAACAGTGCTCCATCTGAATGAGAATTTTGGGCCTGCCGTGACTGACATCTTGATCCACAGATGTCACCGAGTGTTTAAGAGGGAGGATAGTTTTATTTCCTCATGTGCTTTATCTGTTCAAGTCTTTAAGACATTTTTACAACTGTGCTTGAGAATATTTCAGATGTTTAAACTATTTTGGTCCAGTTAGGGTAGGCTGTGTTGCAGCTCCATGAGTGCTGAATCCGAGATTTGTATGAGGAGAAGACGTGATAGTGTCTTCAGTGACTGCCATGCACCCTCTTATCCCGTGTGAATGGATTCGGTGTTGCTTATCCACAGTGAACAAGTTGAAGATGATGCTAAAGTTCTGGAAAAAAGTAGTCATTCCAATTTCAGAATTTGTCAGATAAAGTTGGGGGGAAAAGCCTCAGTAAGCATAAAATTATTCATAAACAAGACCAGAAAAATGATGTTATTCTTTTTCATCCTATAAAGCACTTTTTCTGTCTGTATGTCTCTTCTGATTGATTGTGGACCATTTCATACTTTAAAATGAGAAGGCATCAGACAAAAGTAATTGACAACAAAGGTGGTGATTCTACACAAAATGTGTAGTTGTGCTGTGGAATGCTGTGGATGCTGAAAAAAGATTAAAAAAGCAAGGGGACAGGTTCACAACAGATATGTCAGCTGAGGGCTGCTACATACAAAATTACAATTTCTGACTCAGAAGATGAACAAGCTGGAAATTGCTTGGGGATTGGTTGGGGAGAGTATTTCTGGAAGTATCATTATGGGCTTGTTTTGTTCTAGTCCTGATTGTAAGGCATCCCTTATTGGCTGCTTTTGGAAACAAGATTCCTGGGTAGCTTTTTAGCTTCATGTGCTAGTATTGTTTAGGTATGTTTTGCTAGTTCTTATATCATATTTTTAAAATTAAAAATATAAAAACTAATTTGAATATCTTGTTGGAATGTCTTTCTGTTAAAGTTTCTTTGTGTTTATAACTAACCATAAATTACCAGAGACCACACTTAACTGCTAGTTTTTACTGTCTTTTCTTATGTTCTAGTTCAAGGTGTACATTTGAACAAAATTTATGTAATTGCTTAATCAGATGCTTAGTTAAAAATCTCATCACTCCACGTATGTTGAAGAATGTCTCTGGTTTGTTAAGAATGGAAGAATGTTTTCATTTATGTCTCAGGATAGACTGCAGATACCAGCTGTTTCACCTCTGATGGACAGTCTTTTGAAAAAGGTCTGCCTTGTGTTATACCTCCTGACAGACTGAATTTACTGACTTGGGCAAAAGAGTAGGATACGTTTCATGTACTGTGCTTTTGTGGATGCCCCTCTCAACTTTGTCCCTGGTTATCAGATGTCTTGAGCGTCTTTTTTTTTTTCTCTCTCTCTTGTTAGAAAAGACAGGCATATTTTAGAGTGGGAAGATAATGTAGGGGATAAATCATTGAATGGCAACTTAAAAGACCATTACTGACATTACTGAATATTATGTTTTATACTACTTGCTTTCTATTTTTGGAAAAAAAAAATCCCTGCATTAGTTTTCCATCTGAAAAATGAACGCTTTATTCTCTATTATAAAAGAAGTTGTATGAAGAAACCAATTCCTATCCTTGAGATATTAGGTTTTGTGAGGTGGTTCATAGAAGAGGGATGGTGAATAAGTGGGTCATTGTATCTGAATTAAATTTAGTAATTAGAAGTGCCAAGAGTGAAAACTGTTGCAGCTTGTAAGGTAAAATTTACTCTACTGACACTACATTACATGAGGAGCTGTATAAGTTTAGTGACTTTTTATTTTATATGCGTCCTTAGATCAGTGAGCATTATATAGAATTGTGAGGAGCAGTGTGAGAGGCTGCTGCAGCATATATTGAAAAATGCCTTCCAAGAAACCAGTCGTTTCTCTTGATTCACTGGCGTGGAGAGTAAGAGCTATTTTTGGAATAGAAGAATAGCTGACCCAGGCAGCAAAACCAGAAGATAACTGTTGTTCAGGCTAAAGTTCTGCTTAGAATGAATGGTCCCATCTTCAAAACAGTTATGCTTAATAGAAATAGGGTGACTGGAGCATTTCTTATGAGGACAAACTGGGGGAATTTTTCAGCCTCCAGAAGAGACAACTGAGAGGGGACCTCGTCCCATGTCTATCAGTATGTGAAGGGAGGGTGCCAAGGGAATGGAGCCCAGGCTGTGTGGAGTGGTGCCGAGCAGTAGTAGAAAAGGCAGTGGGCAGAACCTGATGCACAGGAAGTTCCACCTGAATATGAGGAAGAATTTCTCTACTGTGCAGTGACTGAGCACTGGAGCAGGTTGCCTAGAGAGGCCGTGGAGTCTCCCTCACATGAGATATTCAAGATCTCTCTGAACACAATCCTGAGCCGTGTGCTCTGGGATGGCCCTGTTTGTGCAGGAAGGTTGATCTGTATTACTCACCTAAATGAGGAAGCTCAATCCAACATATATTGAATGTAAATAGCTGAAGTTCTGGCACACAGCTCTCACTAGCCATTTGTGCACCTCTGTGTGTTTTAACTGCAAAATGAAAGTGTAACACAGTAATACTAACACAGACACAGATTTTTGGGTATTTTTTGGGTATGGCCTTCTAGCCTGAGGGAAGAACGACTGTTCTGCCATCCTCTAGCCTTGAGAAAGTAGAAATGGTACTTGCCTTAATTTTTATTGGATTTTTCTGTACTGAAGTTAAGCTCTTGAGTAGCTGAATGTTTAGATTTTATGTGCTTTGGGGGACATGGACACCATATCCAGATACACTGCTCACCTAATTTGGCAACAGATTACTTCATACAGAACATAGATGAGTGTTTGCTTTGCAGGGCTTTCTAGTAAACACATCTACATCATAGCTAGGAGTCTAGTGTTTGTTTACCTTACAGGGAATAATAGCATACTGAAAATCAGTCTGGGCAGCTGAATCTAGCACATGGAATAAAAGTTGTTTTCTCTTCCTGAAAGTAATTCCCTTCTAAATTCTTTAAGTGCCTACTGGTGTTAGTGTTGTGGATGGTGAACAGATTTGTTAATCTTATTTACCTTTGTGATTTTGTGAATTTTATAACGTTTCCCTCACCACACCTCCAGAATCAAGGATTGCAGCCTTGTAGTATTTCCTCACATAGTACTTACTCCTTTTCATTCTTTTAGTTAGCAGATTATGCACTTTTTAGGTGAAGACTTTATGCTGTACTTGAGATGTGGGTTTACCAGGGTTTTATATAGCAGTAAAAGGAGGTTGTTCACCTGTAAGTGAAGAATTATGTGCCAGCTTCCATATGAAATAGCTGTCTCTGCCTCTTCTCTATCCTTTTTCCAGGTTATTGATGAAGAACTTGAATAAGGCTGGTCCCAGAGGTGCCCCTTCTTACCTGTTTCAATTTTGGAGAGTGGTTGTTACCTATGATGTTTGTTTGCTATCCAGGAAGTGTCTTTTATTCCTGTACATTTGGATAGGAGTTTTTGTATAATATTGGATACAGAACCTTGTGCAAAACTTCTGGAAAATTCAAATACATTAGTGTCCAGTGGATCCACTTTACCATGTGCCTGTTGACATTGTTACAGAACTGTAGCAGTTTGGGAGGTGAATTTTGTTTTACAGAAGCCATGCTGATACTCCCACTATACACTGAGTATGGGGTGGCAGTCAGACCTACGCTGTTCTTAGTAAATGTGGAGTGGAAAGAGACTGTTGCTATGAACTGTTTGTTACTGCCTCTTGAACCCGAACTGTTCCCTCCAGCCAAGCAAATGAGACTGCAAATAAAGCATACATATAAGATTCCACGTCTTTTCACAAATTGTTCTTCAGAAGTTCACATTCAGCCCGGTGTGTGGTGGTAACTTGCTAGCTGTTTGCACAGGTGCCTCAGGTGTGCCGTGGTTAAGATTCTTTCCTCCCCTTCCTCCCTATAGTGCTATTTCACATCTGTTTCAGCCTCTGTGAAGCTGCACAAGGGAACAAAGTCACAAAGTTAGCCACTTTACCATTGTGGGACACATATTGAGAAAGTAAGAAAATTACAGCCTGAAAAATATTCCAGGCTGGAGCTTTTCAGCTCTGTTCCCAGCCGATAAACTGGCCCAGCTCAAGGCTAGGGAGAATTTCTCCCAGGGTGATAATCTGGTCAAAATAAAAAGGAATTAATAACAAAGATAGAACACCTGTTGTGGTGTGTGACCAGGCCCTGGGAGGGGTGTCTTCTCTCTGAACCAATCACCTTTTCTCTACTCTTGGAATTGCGAGTCATGCTATAAAACCAAGTGTGTTTCTGAATAAACTTGTCTCTTTCTTCCGGTCATGAAAGATGACCATGTAGTTGTGCATCTTATTTCCGCTGCACTTAAAGGGTTAAAACCCCATTCCACGGCTACATACCATTTCATCTTTATCATTCACAAGATTTTGCAGGACTGATCCCTTGCAACAATTTGAAACAATATAATATGGGAGGGCTCTAATTTCTTCATTTTAAATAAAAATAATCGACTATTTGCTATTAATTTTGACTATATAGTACAAATAAAGACATCAGCTCTTGACAACTATGGATGGATGCTGACATATCTGTTTTTCAAAATTACAGTAAGTATTGGAGTCAGTGTGCTCATCAGTGTTTTGTTTCTTACAGACAAGAGAGTTTGATGTGGATAACCTGAGCAAGCCAGAACTGCGAATGCTTTTGAGTGTAATGGAAGGAGAACTAGAAGCACGAGACCTTGTGATCGAAGCCTTGCGGGTAAGTTACTCGGTTGTTGTGATTTTTGGCTTTTTTGGAAATTCTCTTTTGCCACTGCCTTTATACTGTATGCAGAATGTTGTTAGTGGAAGAGTAAATTGTGATTTTTAAAGTTTTATGTTGACTAAATCTCAGTAATTATAAAATATGTTCTTCTTTAGTTGTAGCCATTTGATAATTCTGCATAATTTTGGTCTAAAACACCAACAAAATTTCAAAGAAATAAGTAAAAAATGTGCGAAATTGCTTCCTCTTTGAATTCTTCTGTATTCTAAAGTCTGTTATTCGTGAAAGGAAGAAATAACTTAAAGGGAAAATTCAGTCCATTTGTAATTTTTTCTGTTGGGCTACATTCAGTCATACACTCTATTCAGTGCTTTTATTTTCAGTGAGATGGAAGAAGGGACAAAAATCAGGTGGTCATATTCACTTAAGAAAATATTTTTGTGACTTTTTTCTTTGCTTGCCTTTTTGAATAAAAAATATGAGATACGTGCTTTTAACAGCACTTGCAAATACTTGGTTAGGTTTTTACTGTCAGGCACATATGAAGGTTAGCTTTCTGCTTCAGAAAATTGAAGTCTGAAAGGCAACTTAATTGATTGGAAATGTACAAACAAAACTAAGTAAAACATGATTTTTTTATGATGGGAAAAACAGTATTCTATGGTTTAAAAATATTTATAACTTCATAGTTGAATAAGGGGAAATTGTGCTCTTGAAGGTATTGAAAGTATTGTAAAGCAAAACCTTAATGTAATAAAATACATCTAGTGCTGATTTTTAGTAGTATGTATAATGATTATCAAGTAATGTGGGAACATTTTCCACTTGAAATGTCACAGTAACAATGGTAAATGCATTTTTATTCAGTTTTAAGTTGTTTTGTGATGGTTTCAGATCACCTGTTGCAAATGGAGCTTTAAAGTAGCTGTCATTGATGTATGTGAATTAGTAACTGAAGGCTTTATAAATCTCTCTTATAAAATGTAATTTTCATTTTGTAATGACAATAAGACTGTAGGGGCAATATTTTTCTGGAGTATTACTGCACTTTGAAGTTACTTTGTGTCTGGCCTTCAGTTATATGCATATATTGAAATGTACTGCCTTTTCATCTAACTGTTTCACAATTTCATGGCTCATTTTCCTGGACTAGGAATTTTATTTTCCCTGTCTGCCAGGTAAAGTTTTGTAAAAGTGAGAATAGTGTGCACAGCACATCCAGAATCTCTTTTTTTGACTCTTCTAACTTTGGAGGAATGCAAATAGAATATTAATTCAATTTTTTTCTAATAAATATTCAGGAACAAGGTACTACATTACATGTAAAAAAATGTATTTGCTGAAATTGAGAAAAGTGGGGGGAAAAAGGCAAAAAAATTAAAAATGCAGTAGGCATTTAATGATAGTAAGCATTAAATATTCAGTGTAGTGCAGTCCCAGGAGAAAAAAAGTCTATATCAAATTCACATGCACCTGCTGAAATGGGTAGTATGTATACAGTAGGTTTTATTGATTAACACAGATAAATGTAAAAAGTAGCTCCATTTCACATAAGGTATTTAAATGTTGAGTGCTGGGGGGCGTGGGATATTTTTGTTTAGTTGTTTTTTCGTTTTTTTTTTCTCCTACATCTCAATTTCTAGTTTCTCTAAACAAATTCTGTGTGTAACTCAAATCTTCCTGGCAGCTTGTCTGCTTAGCTGTACTACTACTGGGAAACTTGGAAGCCATACCTGCTGAAGAACTGGAGCCTGATATGTTGTAGTATGATACTTTTGGATCTTCTGGCTTCTTAGTTGGGAAGCCACAATTCAGCAGTATTAGCAGCTGGATTCTTCAAGCAGCACACAAAAATAAACAAATAGCTGGCTAAATGTAAAAGTGTATAACAAGAGAATTCCAGTGGAATTGTGTCAGATTTGGTACTTTGATTTGGTGCAGCAAACAGGCATACATAGTTTGCATGTCCTTAAAGCAAGAAGGAAATGATTTTCATATAAGGGAAAAGACTAACATCTCAAAAAGAGATGATGGTCTGTTTCAAAATTAGGATAAGTTTGTGAGTGTGTTTTTGAGTGTTGGGGGAGTTGGCTTGTTGTGGGGTTTCTGTAATCCTGCTAGTAATTCAGGGCTGTTCCAAAGCTCAATTTCTGTGACAGGTCAAAGCCTGACAATTTCCAACAATAGACTAGAAAATGTGTATCTTTTCTTTCATCTTAAGTGATCTTAAGTGAAAGGACAGCAGTTTGAGTTGATGTGAAAAAATATTGTTAAATTAAATGGTCATCATGGGGGCTGGGATGGGGAGGGAAGATTAGTTAGTAAAGTGTTGATTTTTATTAAGGTAATGCAGTTTGTGCTACATGATAAATTAGAATCAAACTTAGTGTCATGTATAATTAACGGTTTTAATGTGCCTTTTTTTCATAATGTGATGTAGAATTTCCATTGGATTTTATATAAGTTTTAGATACCTTGAAGACTGCTTTTGAAACAAAACCAAAACTTCAAGAAGAAATTTGTAGGAAATATGCAGATGTCATCTGTTTGCTTCCACAATTCCGCAATGCAACCAATACATGCACAACTTATTCCTGCTTGAAATGGTTACAGTAATTATCAATCAGAGCAATTTAAGTTGCTGGACAAGTTCAGCCTCGTGGAAACCAACAGACTTGGAAAAGTAGACCTTCGTGATGCTTAGAGTTAAATATCCAGGTTTGTTCTCCAAGTCATAAGTTAATTTACTGTAGAGAAGAGCATAGATATTTACCTCAAAAGATCTTTGTGTAAATCTTTCTCATTAGCGCTCTGATTTTGTATCATTACTACACCAAGTGACTTGATTTCTCTTTTTTTGAATCTGTAACTTCTCTATTTTAGTAGCTTCATGATCACGGTTGTGCTGCAATTAAAATTAGATTCAGATTAACATTTAAATAATGAAAATTATTTCATTAATGAGAAATAACTTGCTGAATAATTGCTATTGAGAGTCCATATAGGTAAAAATGGAGGGAGATTTAACTATAGTGCTGCCTGCATCTGTCTCAATTATCCAAATAAATTATCTGCCTGAAATAAGGGGATAATTTTTTTCCTGATGTGGAGGTAATGTGGCCATGTAACCAAAGCACAAGTCTGGCCTCTGACAACTGTGATCTCAAATATAGAGTTCATTTGTTGTTATTTCTTCTCCAGACAAAAAGTGGTTGCTGTGGCTGTTTGTTTTCTACAGATTTTTTTTTTAAGAGCATGGACCCTCATATGAGGAATTGATATGGTAGGAATAGCTATCAAGAATAAAATTGTAAATACTAAATACTGCTTTTTGTGGTAATTTTCTCATAAAGTTAAATAATTTGTAAGTTATTTTTCATCTAAAATTTTAAAGCCTCATTCAGTTGGGATTTCTGTTTATTGTAAAAATAGGTTGATTTGCTTATGTAGATTTCATTAGGTAGTAAATGGTAAATTGAAAATGCACGCTTGCTTACATGGTATACATTATTTAATGTGAACAAAAAAATGCAAATTTTTACCATACTAGAGTTTTTAATATACCACATTGCATGGATTTAGAACAACTTCATTTGACTGTTGAGAAAAATCACTAATGAATTTTTAAAAAAAGTTTAAAAGAACTGCCAATACCAACAGTGGATGTATTTTTGGTTAATGAAAGTCGACTACAATATCAATGAGCTTTCTCAGAGCTTAAGTGAGCTCCAAATCAACAGATTCTGTATATATGCTGGCTGAGTCAGGAAGACAATATACAAATGGCAACCTGAACTTGGTTGTAGGTGTTTTTCAGTGTTGGAAAGCCCTACTGTATTTCATTTTTGCTGTAACTTCCTAAGACATGAAAGCTTGTTTTCCATGTATGTGTTCGTACTGACATCTGTTTAATCTTTCACCCAGTTTCTGCAAAAATCTGACAAAATGCCAGGCATTTTAAAAATGGGTAGTGCCATAAAACCAGGCAGCTGATTAAGAAAATTCATACTGTTGTTAGGACTTCAGTTGAAGGGAAGGCAGAGATCTGTGCAGTCCTTTTTTGAGCCCTGTATAGGGACTGTAGAGTACAGAGTTAGGGAAAGTCAGACTTTGCTAATTTAACTGCTCAGAGAGTTTAAGTTAGACGATCTAAATTTATAAAAAGATAAGAAGAAAAAATATCTCTGCTGTAGAAGCTAATTCTGCCTGAATTTTATCTCCCTGAGTCTAAGCATTTTGACAAGTGTGCAGCTTAATCAATGGAGCTACAAATAAATCATAGTTTCTGTATTATGTTCAAGTAGAAATCCATATAAGATAATTTGCAACTTGCCCTAGCAAAAGTATATGAGTTCCTGAAGAATTTTGTAATGAAAGTCCAAATATTAATGTAATTAAATAGGTAGGTCAAAGGACAGAAATTAATGCATCCTATAACAATACCTCATATTCACATTCAAGTTTAGTAACCCATTCTATTAGCTTTACTTAAAAATCTTGCAGTCTAAAAATGCAAGATTTAAAAATAAGGATAAACAGCTTTTAAGAGAGTATAGTGATTACTGTGTAGATTTGCACAATGTTTCTTTGACATAGCTAATGCATAGTATGTTGAATGCCTATTTTCAGGTTCTAGCTCTCCTGTTAGTCATTTCTGAATTACTGGGATATCAGCATTCAATTGCATGAGAAATTCTGTATTTTAACAGAAGTGTTCCCAAAAGGAGGATCACAGGAGTCTCACTTGTTTTAGAATGATGAGATTGCTTCAGAAATTATGGGTATTTTATTGTACTATAAGACTTAGGATTTCTAGAATGAATTTTGGGGTTAGAAGGGAAGAAATCTGGGAGTTAACAGGATAAAGGGAATGAATCCTTGCAATTTAGTTGTTCTCAAATTGACTGGTAGGGAGAAAAATTACACATGTATTAAGTATAATCTGTCAAAGGGAGTTACACATACTATAAATTATAGACCCTTACCTGCAGTAA